CAGTGTCCCCATCCTGACACCTCCCTTGGGCCTTCTTACCACGTGCTGGGGTCAACGCTGGTGGGTCCAGCCCAGGGGTGCTGCTCGTCACTGCGGGGGCATCACCAGAGGCGTGACGGCAGTGCCAGAATCACGGGTATCGGGGCATGCCTGCAGAGACCCTCCCAGGGGGGCGTGGATGTGGTGCTGCAGGTGACCCGGACGGTGTGTGAAGCTGGCCCCCCACCCGCAGCCCCGGACCCCAGGATGTGTGGCCGGCCACGCAGGACGCGGCACCAGGGCTTGATGCTCCTGGTCGTGCCGCCTTCGTTAACACCTATTGGAAGACGACGAACAGGAGAGTGACGTGTGTCCGAGGTCGAGCTGCGACGGTCGGGGCTGCTGGTGCTCGCCGCCCGCCCCCCGCCCGGGGCCTGCGGTCACCAAGGTGGGACCTGAGCACAGTGGCTGGGCGTCCCCAACACGTGTCCCCAGCCGTCTTCCCCAGGCCCTGAGCGCTGTTCACTTAGCCCAACTCAGCCCGTAGGGAAACTCAGCACCCATTTGTTTGGTTTCCACAGAATTTCTCTTGGCCCTTTTTCTGGAGCCAGCAGATCGATTTTCCAAAGACGTGCTTCACACTCAGTGTGACAGGCAGCTAGCTAACCTGCCTAAGTTAATCGCCAACTACAGAAATCCGTTCTTTCTCAGTTAAATTTATTTTTAGATGCCTTTTTGCTGAGAAGTATGTTTTCTAGCAAGTATTCACTCCACCAAGTGCTGGGAGGCACGGCATCCCGCACGCGGGCCCTCGGAGGCCGAAGACGGTCCCCAGTCCACGCCCAGCCAGCCAGCGTGTGGCTGCGCTCTGAAGCCGTCTCTGCAGACGTAGCGAGTGAGGGGTCTGGAGACAAGCCACCCTGGGTTGAGGGTGCTCCTTCTCAGAGAACAGTGAGGACAGGTGCACGGAAGGCCACGTAACGAGGGAGGCAGGGACCAGGTGACGCGGCCACACGCCCGGGACGCCCAGGGCCACCAGCAGAAGGGGCGGGAAGGACCCTCCCCTACAGCCTGGAGGAGGAGCATGGCCCTGCCACACCGTGACTCTGGAGGTCTCGGTTTCAGAACTGGGAGAGGACAAATGTCTAGAGTTTCAGCTGCCCAGCTTGTGGTCACCGTTACAGGAGCCGGGACATCGCATGTGGTGACATCACACGCAACGCAGGAAGGTCCCTCCTACACAACCTACACCTTCAACGTCAGTTTAAGACACTTATGAAATTAATTACAATTGTCTCGAGAGGCTGCACGTGCCTGAGGCCGACAGGGAGAGATGAGGCAGCTTGCAGGTGACAAAACGGGCGTCATGGCAGAGCAGCTGGTCTGCCCGTCACGGAGTAGTGGTGCCGGAACATCGCACGCCACGCTGGGCATGAGCTCCCGCCCAGCTGTCAGTCTACAACTCTTAGGAACTGCTGGATCTTACTCCAAAAAGAGCAAGAGCTGTGGTGCCTTTCCCTGTGAATGCCCACTCCTGGGGGACCCGGTGCCGCCCACTCCTGGGGACCCGGTGCCGCCCACTCCTGGGGACCCGGTGCCGCCCACTCCTGGGGGACCCGGTGCCGCCCGCTCCTGCAAGACCCGACGTCCACGTTCGGCGCCGCCTCTCGGCTTCCTGAGTCCGTGACGGCCCCATGCTGTGCTCTCAGCTCCCTGCCCTTTGTGGAATTTTCACAAACAGCTGAAGAGTGTGTAGGCAACGCCACCATGGAAAACCACCTTTAATTCCAGAGCTAAAATCTTCATCTGACCACATGGTCCTAAAAAAATTTAAATAAAAATCTTATTCCATACGTTTGCAATAAAATTGTTTCCTGTATGTTTGCTTAACTTACAGAGTAAACTGTGCAAGAATCATGTAATTAAAGTTTTTATTTGTCAACAGCCATCTAGTTACAGGTTTTAAATAATCACATGGGCGTGAAAACCCTCCAAAAATTAATGCGCAGACCTGCAACACGTGTGTTTACTTATGGAGCAAACGTTCTGCTAAACACCATTGACTCCAGCCCCCCGGGAGGAGCCAGACAAGGGAGCCCTAGGCTGTGGGGGTGCAGTGCCACCGGCCAGAACTAAGCGTCAGCGAGCGCATCTGGGGACGGGGTGCTGCGGCTGCCGGCTCTGAGGCGCTGTTGCCCGCTGGGATCTGCTTGGTGGGTGCATGTGGAGAGGTGCCTTGGTGGCCGTAGGTCCATGTGGACACGCCGGCCACCCTCAGGGCCTCGTACAAGTCCCTGCTTCTGTGAGTGAAGAGCCACACCCAGGGCCCTCCCAGAGCCCGGGCACGGCCCCCCAACCTTCCTCTCTTTGCTCGGCCATGCGTACCTGCCACCCCAACTGCCCTGGGCAGACAGGCTGCCAGGGCTGTGGGGCCAGGACAGTGAGGGATGGAGGACAAGTGTGGGGAGGCCGCGGTGGGCCCTGCGGGGTCGCGGTTGGAGGAGTTGTCTGTGGAAACTTGGCCATCGCGGGCACTGCACACAGAAAGAGCACTCTACACCCCTCTCTGCCGGGCAATTTTGATGGACGAGTGGCCGAGGACGAAGAACCTCTCATCCTCCTGAAGGAAGAGGAAGAGGAAGGCGGAGAGACCTGTGAGCACGCAGGTGCCCGTCGGATGTCGGTACCGATGACCCTGGCAGCTCCTCGTGAACGGCGAACCCGACAGCTACTCAGGCCCAGGGGTCAGAACCCGCTCTCGTTCCCGGCGATGCTGCTTTGCACACGGCCTTTGTGCTCCCGCCAAAGCGCACGGGCGGGCGCTGCTGCCGCTCGCAGGGCCAG